TATTTATATTTATATTTATATTTATATTTATATTTATATTTATATTTATATTTATATTTATATTTATATTTATATTTATATTTATATTTATATTTATATTTATATTTATATTTATATTTATATTTATATTTATATTTATATTTATATTTATATGTATTTCTGTTTTAAAGCAGAATAGACTGAGTTTAAGCCATAATTACCCTCCTAGGAAGCTCCCTGAAAAAGGATTCTTTTATCTGGCTTTTATTTTCATGACCAAAAGCTTAAAAGACACTGGGTTTTCATTTGAAACTTCATGCCCTTTTAATATCTTAATTTGCATTAATATTTGAATGGGCTGTAAGTGAGGCAGTGTTTGCTGGATGGAGGCGATTCCTCCTCCAGGGCTGGAGGATCTGAGCTGGGAGAGGCTCCAAAAGGAATCCTGGACTCTGATAAATATTTTATTTATCAGTTTTAATTATTTAATATCAAAGCTTTTAGAGTAACTGATCCCAGGAGAAACTCCATAGAATGTAATGTACAGCAAAAATTAAAATTATTCTAGAATTCCAAGGTTGATTTAGGATATGAGGAAGGATTTCTTTCCATGAGGTTGGCGAGGTGGGAGATGCCCCTTCCCTAAAACCACCCCAAGTCAGGCTGACGAGCCCTAATTAAAACTATCGCTGCTCAGGGCTGGACTAAAAGGTCTTTAAAGGTCCCTTCCAACCCGAACGTTCCATGATTCCATGATTCGGTGGCATCTGGAAGTTCGGGAGCTCATTCCCAAGATCATCTCATTCCCAGAGCCCTGGGATGCGCATCCCTCCCTTCCCGGCGGTGCACTAGGTGTCAGCGTGCGCCTTGGCTGAGTGCCGCCACTCCCTCCTTCCCGAGGAAATCCCGCTTTTCCTGAACCTCAGAGCTGTGCTGCCCTGCTTCCCGAGGAAATCCCGCTTTTCCTGAACCTCAGAGCTGTGCTGCCCTGCTTCTCGAGGAAATCCCGATTTTCCTGAGCCACACGGATGTGCTGCCCTGCTTCCCGAGGAAATCCCGCTTTTCCTGAGCCGCAGGGCTGTGCTGCACACCCAGAGCAGGAATTCTGCACTTCCAGGGCTGCTTTTTCCAGGGGATCCCTGGAAAACTGATGGTGGATGGGAAAAACGCCATGGGAAAGCCTCTGTGCTGCACTTCCCTCCTCTGGCTTCTCTGCACTCATGGGAAAATCCAGCAGATTCCCAAATATTCTTTAGTTACACAGAGGAAATGACAAAATCAGTGCAACACTGATGTTTAACATTTGCAAATCGGTTCAAGGGGACTCTGTGTGATTCTGATTCATCCCAGGGGCTCCTGTCCCTCCATCTCTTGCCCCCAGTCCCTCTCCAGCTCTCCTGGAACCCCTTCAGGCTCTGCAAGGTCACAATTTGGTCACCTTGGATCCTTCTCTTCTTTCCAAGCTGAACAATCCCAATTTTCTCAGCTCCACGTGTTTAAACATAGAGAACTTAATTAATTTGCTAATTGGAAGCTGTTTTATGCAGTTACACAGAAATCCAGGATGGATCAGGAATTGGACACCCTCAGCTGCGTTCCAAGACAGACCCAACACTTTTCCTTACTCACATTTTCACTTTGGATTCCAAGGGCTGGAGGTCGATAGGATATTCCTGGATATTATTTTCTTCATCCATGGTGAGCTGATGGCTGTGGGAGAGAAAAGGAAATGTGTTTGACGTGTTCCAGCCTGACATTCCTGAAATCCTGTGAAAGAATTCCAGAATCTGGACAAGAACAAACGCTGCTGATCACAAGGTGTTGCTGTTTTTGAAGAAAGTTATCTGCGCTTTTGTGTCCAGCTCCCAGCAAAAAAAATGGGAATTTGGATCCAGTTTTCCAGTGGGAACTTGCTTGAATCCCTGTTTTAAATCTCCCATCTGCCACAGCTCCAGGGACAGGCACAGCCAGCAAAGAGCTGCTGTAAATAATAAAAAAAAACCCCACAACCCTGGCAAATCTAAGAGATATTCCTGCTAAATTAACTTCCATCCATCCCCACAGCCATGCTGGAAAAGCTGGAGAGGGAAATGGAAAGGAACAATGGGAATGCTGGCAGCAAATGAGTTACAGCAGCAAAAGCCACGTGGGGGGTGAAGAATAAATGCTTTGTAATAAATGATGGCTGAGGAATTGCTGCTGGGAAATGATGGCTTGAAGAAAACAATTTGAAAATGCTGGAATATCCAAATCCAGCATCTGGGAACACTGCCTTGGATGGGAGCAGCAGCAGGGATTGAGTGGCAGCTCTTGGCTGGGAAATTTGGGAGATCAGACCCCAACCTGTGGAGTTGTTTGGAGACTTTACTTTGTGCTCAATGGTGTCGTTGTCAGAAATTGTCCTCCTGTAACTGAAGATAGGGATTGTCTGTGGGAGAAAGGAGAAATTTGGGATATTGTCTGTGACAAAGAGGATCCCTCAGCAAAGGTTTCGCACCTTGGAAAATCCATTTCACTTTCTCATGGGTGAGATATTTTGGAAAAGGCGCATTTACCTTTGGAGCGAGTCTTTGCCGTCGTTGCCCTGTTCCAGGGTGTGCTGGAGCCTCCTGAGTTCTTCCTGCAAGGACAGAGAGGAAAAAAAAATTCAATATTTTTATGGGAAGCCCTTGGAGATTCCCTCTCAGCCTCAAGACAAACGAAGTTTTGAGTCAACCCTGAAACAAAAACAATCCCTCAAGTGCCAGCTGTGAGATTTTAAACCTAGAAATCCATAATAACGATAAAGAAACCGATATTTTATTGATAATCCAGCACAAGATTGAAAGGAAATATCAGAGCTACAAAAATAATACACAGGGTAAAAGAGGGAAGTTTTCTTTCCCATCCTGGAAAGAAATTCTTTGATTCCAGAGATGATCTTGGGAAAAGCACCAGCTCCTGATTCCAGAATCTTTGTTCTGCAATCAAAACCTATTCAGGCTCTTAATCAAGAGATTTCCAACCTGCAGCAGTTCCTGTTCCAGCAGCAGAGGTGGCACCAGGGTAATGTGGCAGATGAGGAGCTGGGAATCCCCACATCCCTGGCAATTCCCAGGAAAAAACCATCCCTGGAGTTCAGCACAGATGTTTGTCTTAAAAAATGGAATTTTTTGAAGGCACAGCTCAGTTGAGAGATAATCACACAACCTTTCCTTCTCCTGCATTTTCCCTCTGGCAGTTTTTCCAGCCTCCTCCAGAGCTGGGTACAGTAATTTAGAATGTGAAAACAATTTGCAGTTGACTTTATCCATAGCTCAGGGTCCAAAAGCTGCCTGACTTCCATAAATCACTCCTGGTGTTTGACATCATTTTCTATTAACCCCGGGGTGAAGACTGAACACAGAGCAAAAAAGCAAAAGCCCAAATTGGTTGTGACGTTTTTGACTATTCCAAATTAAACATGGCTGGGCAGAGCCTCTAAAAGCTGGGATAAAAGCGGCTCTGGAAGGGGCACAGCGAAGTTTGCATAATTGGGAAGAGGAGGAGACAGGAAATCGATCCTAATTCCAGTTGGGCGTCATTAAGCGTGGAATATCGATCCGTGCTCCTGGCAGCGGGATTGATGGAGCTGCCCATGGTGCTGAGCCCATGGAAAAGGGGTTGGAAAGGGGTTGGATGGTGCAGGGACACCGAGGGGACAGGGACACCCCCAGCTCCACATCCCACCCGGAACGAGCCGGCTGCAATCTCCAGGAAATTAAATTGGAAGGGATCCACGCTCCGGTTGGAACCCAGGATGAGTTACGGTGCCTCTCATTGCCCGGATAAAACAAATGTGTTTTGAAACTTCCTGGGCTTTTCTTTTCCCTCCTTCAGCTGGATCCAGACGTGGACAGGGATTGGGCAGCTCCAGACATGGAGACACTGAGGGAAAAAAAATCCAGGGAAGCTTGAGGAGCACATTCAGAGCAACCTGAAGTGTCTTTTCCTAGTCCTTAACGTGCTCATTCCATTTATCCATTAATTATTTTTCAGCCTGAGCATACCCAGCACCCCGGGGTTTGTTAATTTTATATTTTTTCATATTTTTTTAATTGCTTTAATTGCACGACGCACTTGAGTCTGGATTACTTTGGAGAGGAGTATGAGGAGATTGGAACGCAGGAGGGGTGAATTCCAGCATGGCAGGGAGGGGGAGGCAGGGGGAAATCTCACATGACAGATCCATTTCTGAATTCCCAGGGGAAGGATTTTCCCCAGAAAAAGCAGGAAGCTCTTTTTATAGCTCCTGAGCCTGATAATTTTAGTGACAACAACAGAGGAGTGTTTGAAAACCAAAAGGAAATCTATTCATCCAATTTTCAGCTTTTCAGCATGGAGGAATGTCTGTAATTCTCCCAAAAGTCAGATGAAGTTTGGGAATCAGAGGGTTCCTGTAAAAAATAACAATCCCATCTATGAACAAATATTATTTCTACATTATTTTCTTCCTGGGATTTTAGGAGGAAACCTGAGGAGTCTGGGGGGGTGGAGGAGAATCAGGGGAGACCTTGTGGCTCTGCACAACTCCCTGACAGGAGGGGACAGCCAGGTTGGGATTGGGATTGGGATTGGGATCTGTTCCCGGGGAACAGGAGGAGAGGGAATGGCCTCAGGCTGGGCCAGGGGCGGCTCAGGCTGGAATCAGCAGGAATTTTATCATGGAAGGGGCAGTCAGGCCTTGGAACTGCCCAGGGAGGTTTGGGGTCCCCATCCTTGGAGGTGTCCAAGGAACTCCTGGATGTGGCACTCAGGGACAAGGTGGGAATTGGGCACTGGTTGGATGCTGGAGGGATTTTGATGATCCTGGGATTTTGGGCATGTGCACAAACCACAGCACTGGAGAGAAGAAAATCCCTGCCAAGCTTTCCAGGTGAAGCGAGCACAGATGGAAGGAGGAGGCTCCAGAGCTGCTGAGGAGCGAAATCTCTGCTCTCAGACGCCGCCGATGGCTCCGAGGATGTTTTTAATTGCGGGCGGTTGCTCGGCAACCTCATCCCGTGTGCGGCAGCGCCGCTCTTCACCTGGAGCAGGGAAACACCAGGATGGCTCCTCACAAACACCGGGATGGCTCCTCAGGAGCACTGGGATGGCTCCTCAGGGACATCAGGATGGCTCCTTGGGGACAAACACTGAGATGGCTCTGCACAAACACTGGGATGGCTCCTCAGGGACACTGGGATGGCTCCTCCCAAACCTGAGCAGGGCCAGGGAACAACAACAGCATCAAGCCACGAGTGCTCCTCCTCAAGTTGTGCCTCTGGTGACCAGCAGCAGGAAAAGCCAAGGAAACTCAGCCACAGGTGGAACTCATCTCTCCTCCTCCTTCCCACCAAACCAGTCTGGAATTCCATGGCATGAGACTGCCCCAGTGCCCATGGGGTGAGGAGATGCTGCTCATGTTGGAGGCTGGTGGGGCATGGAACTGCAAGGAAGCCTTGGAACACACGCTGGAGTTCATCCCAGTTTTGGCTCTGTTTTCCCAATCCTGGATCTGTTTTCCCAGTCCTATTTAACACAACCAAACCTAAGCAGGCTTCGAGTGGCAGCTGAAGCAGAAGGGTTTTGAACTGGGATCTTAAATCCCATCTCATTCCATCACCTGCCATGAGCAGAGACACTTCCCCGGACTGGGATGCTCCTGCTGATCTGACACAGGGATTGGGATGCACAGAACACTTAAAATCAACCCAGAGCTAAAATAACAAACATTTTCCCCTTGGAGGTCACACCCCAAAGTCAAAGCAGAACCACGGCACCATTCCCAGGGTTTTTCACTCCTCAGTTATCCCATTCCCGTTCCCACAGCTGCCTCGTGTGCTGCGGGAAGCGCTGGGCGTGGAGCACAGAGCAGGTTCTGGATGTTTGACTGACAGAATCCCCCAGCATCCAGCAGGGCTTTGGGATAAAGGGCATCCCAGGAAAACCCGAAATGCAAACAAAAAAAAAACAGCACAGGAAGCCCTAAGATGGAAACGGGTCTCATTCAATCTGGGAAAGCAAAGAGCTCCACTTGGTATGAATAATTCACAAACAGCCTCAGACAAATGATCTCAGGTCTAGGAGGAAATGGGAAAACCTCTGGAGGCTGCAGCTCTTTTTATTCCTGCCTGGTTCCTGCTGAATGCTGTTTTCTCTGGGGTTATTTTTCACTCTTAAAAAAAAAAAAATTAAATATATATATATGTATATCTAAACAGTTAGCCTGGATGTTCAGAGAACACAGCAGACCCCAGAGAAATCTTTTCATTTTATGTTCATCTCTGGCTGGTAAATAATTCATTAACAGGGATCACGCAATGGGGGGAAAATTAAAAATCGGCAAATTAGTTTTCATTTGTTGACGTTAATTATTTAGTGTTCTTCCCTTTTATTAGAGAAAACACAGAGGGGGATTAGTCTTGTTCTGGCACTCTGAGTTTGCTCCCCAGACAACTCCCAAATCAACATTGCTGTGTCTACTTCTGTGGAAAATCCATGGGAATGTGACTCCAGTGCTGAGATGCTGGGACAGAGCTGGATTTCTGAATTCCAAAGAAACATTTGGATATTTTTCAACAGCACTTCGGAAAAAAAATAGGCAGGTGGGGCTTTATTTCTAGATATCACCTCAGCCATAGAATTTGTGGAGATCCCATTAATTAATCTCCCTGAGCTCAGCCACAAACATCCAAAATTCCCATCAACCTCATTCCAATAAAGAAATATCCTGATATTTAATGGGATATTTAACGGGCAGTGGAAATGGAATTGTCTCTGGAGCAATTTGCTTTGGATTTTGCAGCCTTGCTGCCCTGAAGAGCAAGAGGCAGGAGAAGTTAATCACAAATGCTGGAGGCAAACCAAAACTGAGCTTTGCTTCCCAAATCTCCAGCTCTCCCTAATTCTACTCCTCAGCTCACAGGAGCTGCCAGGAGAACTTGTTCAACATCACATCCAATTTTTCTTCCTTCTGATTTCAGTGGCTGCTCCATCCTGAAAAGCTGGAAAAGCTTTGATTCCTCCCAGCTTTTCTACCCAGGCAGCCACACTACTCCCAGCCTCAACACTGATTTTTTCTGGAATACTCTCCAAGTGAAACCTGCCACTCATTTATATAAATATGTATAAAATAATAATAATAAAAAAATATTAGAACCCCACCTGGTTTTGTGGGAATCCCCATTATGACCAAAAGATACCGATTTAAAGTTTTTTAACAAGTTTCTGAGATATGGAACTGCTCTTGGTGCTGCTCAGCTGAGAGCCTGAGAGCAAATCATCCAGGGAAGTTTCATTCTTCAATCCCAGAGCCAAAATCCTGGTTTTCTGCAGCAGCTGCTCCTGCTCCATGGAATTTCTTTGCTGGGAAATGTGAAGGTGACCCCAGGACCTGCAGCATTCTCAGTTAATTCAGTCAGATGGGGTCAGCCTATAATGAACTGGGTGAAACAATATTGGCTTGATTGGGTTGTTAATTCTGCCCTCCCTGGCTGAGGATTTTTGTGCATCTTCACAGAGGGAAGAGACCTTTTCCCAGTCCCAGTTTCCTGCAAACACACATCCCTGGGAGGATTTCAAAGACACATCCACCAGGACAGGAAATTAAAGGTCTCAACT